ATTCGTCGCACCCAAAATCTCAAATTTTGGGTATTGCCAAAGGAGTGGCATTGAGATTGCGTCGCATATGCTCTAGGGACGCTGATTTTTGGGAAAAAAGTAGGATTTATAGGAAATATCTCACGGATTGCGGCCATGACAGTGCACATGTCAATAGAGCCTTTGAGGTGGTTGGTGCTATGACTCGTGAGGAAGCGCGTACCAGTAGACGTAAAGTTCGTCGTAATTCCTGTGTTTTTGTTACCAAGTTTAATCCCAGTGCTCCTGATATTCAAAAAATTTTTCGTAAACATCGCTCTGTTTTAGATAGTGATGAACAGGCCAAAAATATTCTACCGGAGGGTGCCATTCTTGTTTCGTATAAGCGTAATGCCAATTTGAAGGAGTTATTAGCACCATCTAACCCATATAAGCCTAATAAACTGGAAGGTGAAGGCTGCTACAAATGTGATGCTAAGCGCTGTGATAGTTGTAAGAACTTTTTGATTTTTGGCAATTCCTTTCGTGCAGCTGCCACTGGAAGGATATTTCTCATTTTAAAATCTTTGACGTGCACTTCCAGTAATGTAGTGTATCTTGCCGAGTGTGTGCTTTGTGGTTTGCAAGGTGTTGGCTCTACGGCCAATTTTAAGTCCAGACTAGCTAACTACAAATCACACATTAAGCATAAGCGCCGGACATGCAGTATAACAAATCATTTTATTGATGTGCATGAGGCGGACCATTCGAGCTTAAAATTTATGCTTATTGACCAACACCATAGTGAAGTACTTAAGAGTGAAAACTTTTGGATAGGAATGTTGTTGACCAACCGGAAAGGCCTTAATGGTAGTCATGATTTCGCCCAACAATAGTAATTTATTCATAATTTATTGTATATAAGTATGTTCTGTGTAAAGCTATAGGCACTCTGAAGAAGGCTGTGGCATGCAGCCGAAAATTTAGTTTTTGTATTTAATATACCCTTTTTTTAATAAACTTCTTCAAACGTAGCCGTTCTGTTTGTCACATATGAAGTCTTGTCGGCTGAGCAGAGTACTGGCATTTGTCACATATATATATATATATATATATATATATATATATATATATATATATATATATATATATATATATATATATAAATCTATCACTGAGCCAACTTTCTCTAGAGCCCAACATTTATATAAATCAATCAATGATACATCAGAGCTCGTATAACAACTTTTTATTACGTTTCGGGGCAAGCCCCTTCTTCAGATTACATGTGTACACTTGATTTCAACAATTTAAACTGTCCATACCCTAATTACAATAATTCGCATGATTAACTCTATTGTTCAAACAAAGTCTTTTAAATTCAACCCATGCGGTTCAAACGAATTCAGTTTATATGCCCAAAAACCTTCTCTTTGTGTGGGACATGCAACATTAGTTTTATCAATAATTTTAACTTTCACATCTTGCATACCATTATGACCTTGATCAAAAAAATGAGCATACAAATGCTCGCCTGCCATACCCCTTTCACCTCTCCCATATCTATTCATGCTACTTTTGTGGTTGTTAAAACGTTTCCTAAAACTGGTAATTGTACTCCCCACATACTTTTTCCCACATTTTCTACAATAAATCAAATAAATCACCCCATGGAAAGAATGACATCATTTAAATACTTCACGTTCGGAAAATACAATGGTTTTGTCATAATCATACTCGTGACTAACAAATCAACCTCCCGCTACGCAGTCGGTGATTTTGTAATCACTCTGATTATGGCATTACAGTTGATTTCACGAAACTTTGGCCACGCCAATTGCGAGGTTGGTTGGGAATTTGGGAACTATAAACACGAGATCATCAAGTTGATTGGAAACTGGCGAATCAAATTCGGAAGTTTCGCATCAAATTATAGAAATTCGTTATGAAATTCCGAACCAAGTTCGCAAGCATGTTCGCAAATTGCAAACGATTTTGGCGGTAAATTTTAAAAACTAAACTTATTGTATTAAAATTATTCATTTGTAATAATAAATAATATCATAATAATAATAATAATTTCAGGTTTAGAATTATAATAAGATTAATACAATACGATTAGTTTTGCAATTTGCGAACTTGCTTGCGAACTTGGTTCGGAGTTTCATAACTCGAATTTCGATAATTTGATGCGAAACTTCCGAATTTGATTGGCCAGTTTCCAATCAACTTGATGATCTCATGTTTATAGTTCCCAAATTCCCACCAACCTCGCAAGTGGCGTGGCCAAAGTTTCGTGACATCAACTGTAATAGCACTACTGTTCGTTCTGTTACCATCATTAGACAGATTTAGATCGAGGACGCGGACGTCAAAGACGACGTGAAAATGGCGTTAAAATGGCGTGGCATACCCATACATGGGCACAACACGCCAATTTCACGTCGTTTTTGACGTCCGCATCTTCGATCTAAATCTGTCTATTAATTGCACTCTCCAGGAGTGCAATTAATGCTTTTCGTTATGGCTGGGGGGAGCAGGAATTCAAAACAACAAAAATGCAATATGGCGGCGAAATTTATCTTGAATAAATAACAAACGTGGACGAATTTAACTAAATTTTGGCACAAAAAAATACATAGTATGGCAAAAAGAGCCTGTGGAAAAACCTGGAAACAGTTTTAAGAAATAATCTCGGCGAGATGCAGCGAAACGTGAATATGTAAGTCTGTAATACAATTTATAAAGATTTTCTTACTCTCGGATATGTTGTTCGAGTTTGAATCATGTGTTCTCGCTTAAGTTATGTGCCTTTATGAGTTTATGATTATTTCCCAAGTTCGCCTTTGCCAAATTGCTAACAAAAGAATTAAAAACCGTCTTTTTAAAAACAGACTTGAAATCCAGCTAGGTTTACCAAAACGTCTGCATGGAGACAACGCTTTGATATCAACCAATCGTTTACTCGTGAGACGTGACGTATAATATATCAGTCGTTGCCCTTCGACAGTACGTAAAAACTATACAAAGTATAAGCTACATTAATTGTCTATATACACAAAACTATAGAACCATCACATACTAAACATTAACTAAATACAATAACAACGTACTGTACCTCTTTCCCCGCAGATCCTTAAGCTTTAAGCCGCAATAAAAATTATCTAATACTATCCAAAGTTATATATCTTGTCCACGCTTAGCACAAAATACAAACAACAAAAACTTAAAAGTTCTGCCAGTTATAAAGCCGTGGTGGCATGCAAATTAGTTGGCTAATTAATCCAACCCACGCAAAAGGTTTTAATCAACATCTTTAACAACTCTTCACCAAATGCAGTTGAAATTTAAAGAACGCGATTTTGTCATGCACATAATAAATAAACTCGTGATTGCGGCTCGTGCCATTTTGGCACATTTTTCAAATATCACTCGTAGTGTTAGTCATTATAATTGCATTCCTTGCCGTGTGATTATCTATACTAATTGCCATGAATTATTTTGGAGAAGATGCTGTAAAACAAGTAAATGAAATTGTAACTTCATTGGAGAAGCAAAAGCAAGTAAAACAAGTCAAAAGAAAGCGAAAAACAACAGTAGTAGGAAAAAAAATGCACACTTGATTTTTTTGTCCAAAAATCATTGGAAATATCATCTCCTCAGTCCGACTCCATGTCATCAGAATCTGATTCTGCATGGGGAAGGGTGATGTGAATCAGTGCCTGTATAGATGCATGTGACTTACAAAATACTAATGCCATCACTGAATTATTAACAATAACAGGATTAAGCTTTTATTTCATTTTGAATAAACTTTAAAATAATCTATTATTTTAATAGGAATGTTGTCGCGTAGTATAGTTATAGTATGTATTGAGTGCAAATGGGCTATATGTGTTTCATGGCCCACCCAGTTGCGTAATAAATAAGTCTATATTTTAAGTATACTATAGTTAAAATTCAAGGACGTACTCGTGATTATAGTATTTTACTATATCAAAATTTTGGCGATGTATTGGCCATATATCTACAATCTTGCATGGACATAACTGGTTGAGACTATTTCCCCCCTATAGAAAATTCGCGTATTTTTATGATAAACTCCATGTTGAATCATGTTGCCATTCTTAAACCCCCGCTCCCCCAACTCAATGTTGAGCTTGTATCATGGTATATTACCAAAAGTTGTTTCGGCGTTGTTCACAACATTGAACTGGGGGGGAGGGGGAGACAAAGTTTGTTTTGTCAATGTTCACTAACTTTGTAATATTAGCTGGGATGGTCTCAAGGGTTTTGTCCAAGATTGCATGTAGCATGATTGCTATTTTCACCATTATATTATACATGGAAAAAGTGTCTAAAGCTTCAGCCTTGAAAAATACTGGAAATAAAATGTCAAGATTAAGAAACAACTTAATTAGGTATTTTATCTGGGTATAGTTACCTATACTGATATTCTTCATTTATGATCAAGCAGTTTCCATTTGACGGTTTCTAGTAGCTAGTTAATGGCCTTTGTGCAAATCGTTCCTTAAAAATATAACATATTTTAAAATTAATTTTAAATTCCTGAGTGTTTGGCACTGTTTTGATGTTGCCGACCGTTATACAAACAAAAAGCCATATTCCTTTATAGTTTTGATCATTTTCTCGTCCGCTCGCAACAGATATCCCACGGAAATTTAAAGAACTTCAAATTTGAAATCATTCTTAATTCTCCTTATATTCACATATAAGGGATAACTATATGGTAAATAACTCAACAAATACAAGTGTGCCTTTCTTCACAGTTCCCAGCGACGTCCTAAATATTTTCAGTTGTATTTAAGTTCATTGTGATGATTCTAGGAATTTTGGGAAATATCACTGTTATAATTTATACAATTGTCTTGAGCAAAGAAAAGACAGCGACATCTTACCGGGTTGGAAACTTGGCACTGGCAGATCTTCTCATGTGTTTAACACTTTATCCAATATGGATCATTGAGTTTATACTGACTCTATTAAACATTGATAGTGATCAGGATCTGTTTTGTAAATTAAGTCGTTCTACTATGGCATGGTGGAAAACGCGGGTATGGGCAGCGGGTACCTATAGGGGCTTCATATAGGGTATTTATAGGGGCTTCGGTGGCCAAGTGGTTAGCGCACTTGCCTTTCACCTCTGAGGCTGCAGGTTGGAGTCTCACTAAGTACCTTCTCAGTGCGACTCGAACCCAGTCCCCATGTGAAAAGAGTAAAAGTCGACGCTCTGCCGAAAGCCGTGGGTTTTCCCCGGGTACTCCGGTTTCCTCCCACAGGGAAAGTTGACAGGGTGGGTTAGGTAAGAAAAGGGCCCACAGTAATTGGCATATGCTGTTGTAGTGACCCTGCCCTAGTTGGCAAAGCTAAATAAATAAATACCTGGTAGCGGGTAGCGGGTACGTTTTCCATATTTTGCCAAACAATTTCAAGGCTAAAAGATCCCGGTAAAATCCGAACAATCTTTCTTCCTTCAAAGATAGTTTTAAAGTATGTATAATTCGAATAAAACAGTTTAATTTGAAATACGCTTATTTTAGATATCTTTAGCACATCAATTTGTTGCATTATACTGTATTTTTTTCTAGTTGCGCGGTTACTTTGACGGAAAAAGCAAAGAAAACAGCACTGCATTCAGTGAATATTATAGCCACCTTGCTATAGACAAAATGACGTAACGCATAGAGCCAGAGTGGCTGCTACATCTGTTTTCTCACTAGCACAGGAAGTTTTTCATGCTGCGTGGCAGACAAACCGGCGAGAAAAAATCGCACTTGCAGGCTCGAACTTTTAGTTCGCTCATTCATCAAACCAGTCGTTGGCTTATTCATGAAGATGTCTTTTACTATATAAAGTTTTAAAAATGCAATGCCACGTAGGGAAATCGCCAAAGATCTACCAGTCATTCAATATTATGAAAATGTAGAGTCATAAAGGGAACAGATTGGCCATGGAGCGTACGGTATGGTATGTAAGGGTAAATACAATAGTGAGGTTGTTGTTATTAAAAAGCTTTCAGGAGAATCAGCAAACGATCGAAGAGAATTGTTTTGTGAAAGAAGCAAGATTGATGTTTTCACCGAATCACGAAAACATCGTGACATCGGTACATAAGATGGTTTTTCTGTTGATTTATAGTTCGTTTTCGACAACTATAAATATGCGTGTAGGCAAATGTTGGGTAGGGGTAAAACGCGGAAACGGAACGGAACGGACTGGCGGAACCGGAATGGCGGAACCGGAAAAGCGGAAACGGAATAGTGGGTAAAACGCGGAAAAGAGGGTAAAACGCGGAAAAGAGGATAAAACGCGGAAAAGAGGGTAAAACGCGGAAAAGAGGGTAAAACGCGGAAAAGAGGGTAAAACGCGGAAAAGAGGGTAAAACGCGGAAAAGAGGGTAAAACGGGGAAAAGAGGGTAAAACGGGGAAAAGAGGGTAAAACGCGGAAAACAAACTTTGAAACCAAACTTTGACTTTGTTAACAAAATCAAATTTAATCTAATTAAATACCATAATAAAACGAAGTAAATGTACCTCATTACTGTACTTGAGTTCTATTTTTGACTGAGTCGGCATGTGACAAAGTAAACTTTCTTTGGAGTACTTTTACTTGGAACGAAGTCGTTTAAAGAAGTAACGTTTTACTTCGTTATTTTTATTATCTTGCGAAGTATTTTGTTACTTTCTAACTTTTGTTTAATTTTACGTGATGTATTCAGGATTTATTTTAATTTTGGAATAGATAATAGGACCTCTACATGCGCCTGGATAGATTTCTTATGTCTTCAACGGGATCTGAAGAGTAGACCATGCCGCGAAATATTGTATATTAGGTGCACCGTGGACGCATCTAATGCGTGTGTTGTTTTGTATGTCAATCCATTGGAGAAGCCCCCCCCCCCCTTACACTCCAAAGACAATAGTACTTTTACTTAAGTACGTTTTGCTTCCAGTACTTTTTACACTTATTCAAGTCGTTTTATTGTTAATTACTTCTACTTTTACTCCAGTACAAATTCAAAGTAATTTAGGCACCACTGGGTATAGTGGACAAACTGCGTTTACTTTTGTAAAGCAAAGATGCCTTTTTCGCCTCAGAAGGAAGACCATGCATTCCACTATACTTAAAACTTCGTTTAAGATAGTTTGATCATTACTTCGAAGATTATATTCTCTATTAAGATCTTTAATTTTTATAAACTTTTTCTCTAAGACTTGGAGCGGACTGCTCATTAAGAATTTTGTACATCAAAACGCTCATCACCCAATGACGTCTTACATCATATGCCTACCGACTAACAATCGTACATCTACTATATAAAGGCCGGTTTACACCATCAAAGTTACTGTGATCAAAGTGGCGTCATCTCGCCCAAGCAAACCTGTGACTTAAATACTTTTAAATCTAATTTGTGTTTTTGAAGGGTGTTACTCGTGCAAACTTCGTTAATAAAAGCATACTGCATGCAGTGAGCACAAAAACGTTGATAGTGTAAAGGCCAGACTCCACCCCCCCCCCCCCCCCCCCCC